TAATACTCTCTGTTAAATTCTTAATAAATAAATATTTATATTATAATATTATATAAGTAAGAAATAATTTTATAATTTTATTTAATATTATTTTTAATAGTGAAATTAAAATTAAAAATATAAATATATTATTTATCTAAGATAAAATTTTTATTTAAAAAGTAAATCTGAAATTTTCAATATTAAAAATAAAGTGATTTAAAATCAATATAATAAATATATACTATAATTAGAAAAAAGTAATACTTTTAAAAAATATAACTACTATAAAGTTTAATTCTAATCTCAGATACAGTTATATAGTCAGTCTATATATAATCAGAGACTGTAATATCTATTTAAAAACTGAAAGTTCTCAGAGTTGCTTTTATACTTTATTTAATAATTATTCATTTCAAATATATAAAGTAGAAAATTTTAGCTCAAAATATACAAACTCTTTTATATAGTATATTAAACTTCATAACTCTTTAATATATGAAGAATAGTTCAGAAAGTATAAAGAGAGCTAGTTTTAAAAGATAACTTAATAAAAATAGAGAAGAAAGAAAAGAATAAAACATTTAGATCTTTAAATAAGAAAAATTAATAAAGAATATATAAATTAATAAAGAGAAACTTAAACACAGTATTAATAACTGTTTAAATAATGTAAGATAATGATAATATAAAAGATAATAATTAATAGATGAGAAATTAATAACAGAATAATATTTTATAATAAAAGCTTTTTTATATATTTATATATATAAGTCTAATCATGTTTTAGAGTCTATGTAAGTGATAAAAAGCTTCTGTAAAAGAGTAATTTAACTGAGATTATAGTCATGACTCCTGTCTATATAGATTGTGTGGCTCTAACCCTATCACTCTACTGATTATATAAGTGGCGAGAATAGAAGTAAGGCCATCCGCGAGGAGTTGGGATTTCTTAGACAGAATTTGACTAGTGAAACACTTTAATGTCTAGAAAATCATCACTTACAATAACTGAATATTCGCTCAGAATCAATCAACTTGACAAATCAAAAACACAGTAACGTGGCGGCGCGGGGGCGGTAAGACCACGGAGTCGGCAACGTTGAGGGGTTTAGGGTATGGTATATATCAGGCAAGCCGTTCGGGTGGGCTTAACGAGCCGCTCGGTGGCATCCCAACGGGGTCCATGGTGCCGCAACGGCGCCGTGATCTCAGTGACGTAGACCAACTGCCTTGCGGCAGTAACCAGCACGCGGCATACGTATGGCAGACCCATCCATTATCATATGAATGCGAGGAATATCCGATCGAACTGATCAGTGGAGGCCCGTGATAAACACAGGTAAATGAATCTTATAATTAAAAAAAAGAAAATGAAAGAGCGTATAACAAAGGAAATAAATTTTAAAGAGAGAAGAGATTTAAATGTCATTCTGTCAAATCAAGTTTATACTATAAGCTATAGCATATTTTGACACCCCCCTATGTAACCAACGGCTTGCTTCTGTCCTCTTGGTCCACTGTTAGAGGTCGTTATTCCCCATAGAATGCCGCCACCCAGTTAAGCTCTTTAACTAACCCTAGAGATGCTCACTCTTAGCTAATGCCTAACGGTCAGCCCTGGGAGGCCGGGGGCAAGAGCAGGGAAGCCCCCACTACAAACATAGGTGCCGGGCGCGGTTGGTGAGGAGCCAGCCGTCTGATGGTCTTTTTAGGCCTAGGTCTTGAGCCTACCGGCAGCTCTTAACTATGACATAATGCCCCTAACCTTGTAGCTGCCTATCTCAGCATTCCAGCCTTATCAATAGGCTGTCATTTACAGTCTTGCAAACCACTCACTCAGGCGGTGGAGTTGGGGCGTTAGGTTCCTCCCTGGGCTCTATAACTATGACGATTCACCTCCCGTCCTCCATTTGCCCGGAGGTTGTGGGTTCAAGATGGCAGATTGGGGCATGCGAGCTCCCTAGAACGGCTGACAAGGACAGGGGTTGACGTCATGTCCAGCGTGCTTCAGCGTACCTGCCAGGTGGCAACTGAGTGGCAAGTGAAGTGGCAATTAGTTGCTTAGACTGCTATGCTGGACACCGGCCTGCTCCTTAGGGGATGGTCACTGTGAGTAGTAGGCGCTCGGGACAAGCCCCTATAATTTTGGGAGGAAGTTGTAACCGGGGGGCCGGGGCAGGCCGGTACGAGCATGCCCCTACTGTAAAAGTGGGTGGTCGGCGCGGCTGGCTGAACACCAGCTGTTTTGAGGTTGAGGGTCTTTCGGCCTAGTGATTAGGCGCTTGGGCCCAGCAGCTCCATCATGACATAGACTCTAGATTAGAGTTGATATTTTTTCATTTTTTAATTGTATAGTAAATATTATTATTTTCTTTATAGCAAGTTTTATTACTATAAAATTTATTTTAATTATTAGTAAATTAAGCTAGTTATAATTTTTTTATTATATAATATTTAATTTCTTTAATTCTTATATTAAAGTTTAAATGCTTTTAAATCAGATAATATTTAATTAATTAAATAAAGTGTTAATAACTTTACTTTTAATTTTTATACTTTTAACATTTAAGTTTTCTATACTATAATATATACTTTTTTATCAAATCAGATATTTTATCTGATTATGAATTAATTATAAATTATAAATTTACTAATTTAATAATGTAATTATTGAATATGAAATTAATATGTTTATAATAAAAGTCTTAAAATCTGTAGAAGAATCAATGCTAATCTGTATAGAGTACGGAGTATAGAAGATATAATCTAGCTAGTGAAAGTGACACACGTGACTGCAGTAGCCGGAGCAAACAACCCACTCACACTCAGGCCAGTGCCACACACTTTCAAAAACGCAATAACAATTAAATATAACAAAAAGTGACATCTAGTTTCCTAGGATTAGACCCATAGGTGCAAATACACGCAAAAGAAAACGCCGAATTCCGTCCTTCCTAGATTGGTGTTAACCGCCGCCCCCAGTCGTTCTATCGCCGCGGGGTCTCACTCTGGTACCGGTAAATTATATCATTCTGGTTCTATCTGATCCCCCCCTGTCAACCAGTAGGTTCTTTTCTGGTTCTATATCCTCCCCTGGCATCCGTAGGTTCTCGCATTCTGGTTCTATATGATCCCCTGTCACCCGTAGGTTCTATGGTTCTATATCATCCCCTGGCACCGGTAGGTTCGAGCGTTCTGGTTCCATACCATCCATATCATCCATAGGTTCTAGCGTTCTCGTCCCCTGGCACACGTAGGTTCTATCGTTCTGGTTCTCGTCTTTGGTGGCTTTGTTTATTCGCATCGCGGTTATTGAGCGGTTAGAGGAGTCAGAAAGGTGATTATCCGGCGTTTCTTCACGATAGGATAGGGCGACGTTGTGGTGACAGGCATTTTTGCTATGGGGTTATTTTAATAAAAAGGGACACTTTTAAGAGATGAATGTTAAACAGGATAGAAAACATGGGACACGTGACTGTAGTAGCCAGAGCAACCTTCTCAAGATGGAATGGGTGGGTGGATGATTTGTCATGACATGGTCACAACCTACGAAGATCATGATTCTTGGCTCTAACCCAATTCAGTTAGTTTTTTTAGTTCCCGAACAGAGCAACAATTATCAGATTAATTAATGAGTTACATACAGGTTGTACAGGTTGTATACGGAGTAGATGTACAGAAGAGAGTACTACTACTCCGTAGTATTTTGCTGTTTCTCTGGGTGGATATGAAGGTTTTGTTCATTTTCTAGTGTCAAAATTGAGTCTCCAATAATAATCTCTCTAAGGGGCCCCACAACTGAACCGAACTGATAAATTTCTTGGGCTAAACCTCTTTCTCATGATTGATAGCAGAGACTCAGTGAGACATCCACTCAAATTCTTTCTCAGGATATCAACCAAAAGGTTTGTGGCAAAGCCACAAGAGACAACAGGAATGTTAGAGTCGAAACACCTGAAACGCCGGATTGCTGTCCAGCGGGCGGAGAGGAGAAAAACTCCGAAAGCAGAGCACTATTGTGGTCCAGTAGAAGCGGCGAAAGGAGCTGCGTTTCAAACAAACTCGCGAGAAATGGGGCGGACGCTTTGCCACAACTCCACTTGATGCTTCTGGGGCGCCTGGAAGGGAGCAGGGGCCCCGGGGGGGGGGGGGTTGTTGGCATTTGTTCCAGGCGCTCTCAAAGGGCGCTCTGGCCAGTCAGAGCCCTGAGCCAGGTTACTACTGTGGAAAGCCCGCGACCGACCCGTCAGCAGGCACGCCCGCCCCTAACCCCCTGGCTCCTGGCTGGCTACATCATTTCCATGCTCGCATCGAAACTGACAGTCGACTGGTTGGGCCGCATTTCTCTCCCCTCCCCCCCCCCACCAGGGCCACTGGGACTGTATGAGACCAACTAACTATCTATGCTGTAGAATCAATCAATTTGATAATGAGACTACCAAATACTTTGGTCCCGGTCTCATGCACGGAGCGGTTCAAGGAGCGCCCGAAAGACACCAAGTTCGGCTGTTTCCGATCAAGGGTGGTTTTTAAGAGCAAATCCTCTAGAAGTAGTGCCTCGCAGCTTGCCCTTTTTCTTTCTTCCTTGATTTACTGCTTGGAATCACGCCTCTGTATCCCACGTTTATTCTCCGCGATCACGCCCAACGGACTCTTTCGATTCAATCATCTCCCTTCGACCAGGGCCAATTATCAGGAGCCACAGGCTACGGCATATCCCGGCCGTTGTCCGCTGATACCTGCCTGGTCCGCTGGGCCAGCCTTCACTTGACAACACCTAATCACCAATATCTCGTGCCCATATAATCTGTAAGCCTTCAATGCCGACTCACGACCTGGTTGATAACCCCTCTGGAAGGATTTTGGCTATCCCGCATGCTCTGGATAGCTGCATAATAACAAAGCTCACACTCACTCACTCACACTCTCTCTCTAACTAACATAGTTATTACAGGAATTCCTGATAGCGTTACCCTTTTCGAGTCCTCTCAATACATTCCCCTGTTGCTTCGTTTTCGATGGCGATCACGGAAGGGTACAACTACCCCAATGCTGGAAATACCAGTTATGTCGTGCAGTACACTCGAGGGTTGTTAGGGGTCAATGTCAAACTCGATAACCTTCTCACACAGATAATATGCGGTACCCTTGGAGCAGCTTGTGTCGCCGTGCTGGCAACGAGATTTGGCCAGATGCTGAATGCCTATCTGCGTCGAATTACTTCCGCCCATGCAACCCCCAGGCAACAACGGTACTGGGCTACTGCGGAGTCGGCACTCTGGGCGGATATCAAGAAACATCTGGTATATGCACCGCTGGGGAGGAAGCGACATAATCGAGAATTTAAGCTCTCAGATGCTGTAAACGTGGGAACCTTGCCGTCGCGCCTGCATACGATCCTACTCGGTTCATATTTCTTGAGCCAAGTAGCATATCTCACTATCCTCGACTACAATGTCAACGAAAAGGCTGCATTGATTGCAGAACTGAGGGGCAGATCTGGTGTCCTTGCCGTACTTAACATGATTCCGCTGGTTATACTCGCGGGTCGAAATAACCCGCTCATTCGAATTCTACACGTCAGCTTCGACACGTACAATCTCCTACACCGATGGATAGGGCGGATAGTGGTCATTCACAGCGTCATACATACTTGCGCCTGGATGACGAACGCTGTTACCGCCAGTGGTTGGTCAAAAACCTTTCATGACTTGGGATCCACGAAATTTTTCACAGCAGGCCTCATCGGGACTATAGGCATGGTATTATTGCTGCTTCACTCGCCATCCCCAATCAGACACGCCTTCTACGAAACGTTCTTGCATCTACACATACTTTTGGTTTGCTTGGCAATCGCGGGAGTTTATATACATCTTAATGTTGATGGGCTACCGCAACTTCCGTGGTTGCAGTTCATCATAGCCTTCTGGGGAGCGGAGAGATTGGTTCGCTTCCTACGGCTGGCTTATCTGAATGTTTCTCGCCGCCATGGCCTCACTCGGGTCATGGTCGAGGCCCTCCCCGGAGAGGCCAGTCGAGTAACTTTCTTCCTCCCCAGAAACACCCATATACACCCTGGCAGCCACGTCTACGCTTACCTCCCCAAAATCTCCCTCTGGATGTCACACCCTTTCTCTGTCGCCTGGACAGAAAATGGCAAGTATCTCAAGCCACCGTCAAGTTCAGACGGCTCATCCCCACGCAGCCTCCCATCATTCCAAAAACAGGAACCAGACCTCGACGACGCTACAAATTACCGCACCCAACCTACAAACGTAACCCTAGTCATGGCCGCACGCACAGGCATGACCCGGAAACTCTACGAAAAAGCGCTCGCCTCTCCACAAAACATTCTCTACACGACCGGTTTCATCGAGGGGCCCTACCGCTCCCACCCCTCCACCTTCTTCGGCAGCTACGGCACCGTCGTCCTCTTCTCCGGCGGCGCCGGCATAACCCACCATCTCATGCAGGTGCGCGAGCTGCTCGAGGCCGCGCAAGCCGGCACCGTCGCCACGCGCCGCATCCATCTCATCTGGTCCGTGCGAACCACCGAGCAGCTCATGTGGGTCAGCGGCTTCATGGACTATATCCTCCAGCTGCCCATGCGGCGAGAGATGCTGGTGACGAAGCTATTCATCAGCAAGCCGCGCAGCCATAAGGATATCAAGAGCCCCAGTGGGACGCTGCTGATGTTTGAAGGGCGGTGTCGGCCGGATGTCATCATTGAGGAAGCCATGGAGAATCATGTGGGCGCGACGGCTGTGTCTGTGTGTGGACCGGGTGCGTTTGCTGATGAGGTGCGCGCGTCTGTGCGGAAGCGAGTGGGCAGTGGGCCTGTGATTGATTTTGTGGAGGAGGCATTTACGTGGTGATTTCCTCTTGACGCTTTTTTTGAACATTCATATGCATAGCAGTGATGCAGGAGTCTGCAGGAGTCTGATCGGATCGTATCCTAAACCTTCGGCATACATATCGGTACTCTCTTTGCAGAGCGTCCCTTGTTTTGAATCCTAGGCCGTGTTTTCGTTTGCCTTTTTGCTCATTGGATTTCTATGCTGCGGAATCATCATCTACCGGGACTTTACTTGGGTACTCTCTCCCCTCATTTCCTCCGTTCTGTTCCTTCCCCAGACACTACTGCTCCTGCCCATTAGCCATGCCCTTTCTTATCAAAAGATTTTCCATGTAACGCATGCATCGCTATTGCTCGACATCGTTTGCAGATACTCTAGTATCACACCCCCTCAAATTCTCCCCCTTCTTTCCACATGCCTACAGCCACTTTAATGCACCCACTTCATTTCTCAATTTTTTATTTCTTTTCGTACTTTTCCATTTCTCTTTTTCTTCTTCGATTTTCCATCTCTTCCCAACTATCTCAAAAGATCCCCGTTTGGATCCCATCAAATCTTTCCCTTTTGTAGCCTGTCAGGTGGCCATTTTTCTATTTTCTTTCATTTTCTTTTTTCATTTTTCATATTCATATTCATTTTCATTTTCATTTTCATTTTTTTTCATTTTCTTTCGTTTTCTTTCATTTTCTTTCGTTTTCTTTCATTTTCTTTCATTTTTTCTTTCATTTTTTTTCATTTTCTTTCATTTTCTTTCATTTTCTTTTTTTTTTTTTTTTTTTTTTTTTTTCATCCGTGCGTACATAATACTACTCATTACATACAATTTAGCTCACATCTATGGACATAGACATAGATAAACATTTGTACAGTACATAATTAGACAAATTCAAGGGGGTTGATTTATACAATGCTATTCATTCTTTTTATTTCCAAACCCTGTGTATGTTTGTGTGGTGGGGGGGGGAAAGGATGGGATAGATGATAATAATATTTAAAAAGAAATGATTAAATACAAAGTGACTTGTTTTGAAATCAGGAAGACACATCTGTGTAAGTGAAGAGAGATTTTTTTAACTGAGTTTTGAATCTGCTACAATAATGGTACAGTACAGCATAGAATGGAATGAATAGTATATACTCTCTCAAAGAGAGGGGGAAGGGCAAGTGAATTCAGCCTTAGCAAGCAAGCTACATACAGAATGTTGTGCTGTCAAGGACCTCGCTAGCTAGATTGAATCACAAAATTTTAAAACACCATATATATTTAAAAGGCAAAAAGGAAATAATTATCAGCAAAGTGAGAAGCAATGAGAGATACCTATGGGGGGAGGAAACAATGAAATATCAAACATTCTCAGATTTAGTCGTACCAGATATTTGATATTATTAATACATCACCGCCATCCACACTAACATTACACTACTACTGCCAGCCAGCTTGGACATATAGAAAAACTACATGCTTCTTAAAAAGCACCTTCAACAGTCATAAAAACCACAGCATATATACAACTATAAAAGAAAAGGCAGAGAAAGAAAGTCATATTTCAGTCATGCTACTCCTTACTATCGCCACCACCAACCATACTACCTACCCATGAACAAAAAAAACAAAGAATCAGGCAAGATTTCATAAAGGTACAGGCGATCGAAAGGAGAAGAAGACAAGGCAAGGCAAACAAACTGGGAAAACGTGGCGCAGCAAAGGGCGATATATACATGTGTATGTATGAAAAAAGACAAGTAAACACCAAAAAAGAAGGGAACAAAAGAAAAGAAAACAAAAAGAAACAAGCGAGATGAGCCGGTTCATTCAACGTGCAAGCAGAAGCAGAAGCAGAAGGAGAAGTAGAAGCAAGGGGCGGGTTCGTTTCGTTCCATCAGGAAAAGCAGAAATAGGTATAATGAGCAAGTACCAAAACAAAAAAGAAGAAGATCGAGCGATCGCCCCTAGCCCCCGCCCCCCCCCAATCATATCAAATCCCATCCATCCATCAATGCAAGGCATGCAAGGATTCAAGGTAAGCGAGGTATGTAACATGTAACAACGACCAGCATCACAACCAGCCATACCCCTTACTTAACCTTCCAACCTCCAACGCCCAACATTTAGCATCAACCCCTCTTGGTCACTAGCCCCCGCATCCCGTAACCCGTATTCATCTTTCACCTCCCCCTCAAGCCTCCAGCGGTGGAGCCAACCGCCCCGCCGGCCCCGGGCATGTTCCCATCAACCATCACGTTCCGCGCATCTGGGTAGTACGTGCTACTCGTCAGGGGTTCGGTGTCTGTATCTCTATCTGTACGTATTACGCCTATACCGCGTACACCCCCCCTGGTCGTGGTCGTGGTATGATTACTGTTAAGATTATTATCGGGCAGCGACGTGGACGTGCTATACGTGTCCGCGAAGGGGTTCTCGACCTGGAATTCGCTGGAGTTGTAGTGGTATGGTGACGATGTGGCGTTGTTGCTGCTCGTGTGGGTTGCGTGGCTGGTTAAGGCGGCGGTGCGGGACGGAACGGTGGTGGTATGCTGGTTGTTCGTGGAGGGGAGCTGGGGTGGAGTTGTGGCCAAGGGGGAGACGGCGGAGCGGGGGCGTGGGGTTTGGGTTGTCCACCGGGCGCCGGTGGTGGTGGTGGTGGTTTGTTCTGGAAGTGTTTGGGGAAAGGAGGCGGGGTGTTGGTATTGGTGTAGTTGTGCGTCGATTGGCTGCTCTTGCTTGTCTGAGCGGAATTTGTTCAGGGCTTTGCGTGGGATGGAGAGGAGCGGGACGGAGCGTTTCCCGGTCGGTACTTCATAGTTCTGTTGTTCGGGCTGATGTAGATGCGGCGGCGGAGGCGGCAGCTGCTGCTGATATGGCCACTGCTGCGAAACTGGCGGAATCTCTTGCTGAGAATTAGTCCTACTCGCGTTCCTCCTGGCGATAACAGCGGCGCGCTGGTATTTCGAGAACGCGTCGGAGAGTTTATCATTCGTCTCTATCAGCGTGAGCATGGTATCTTCGTCCGGTGCGGGATTCGTCGCGTTCATGTATCCCTGGATCGATCTGGAGGCAGCCTGGCAGCGCGCAGAGAATTCCCCCAAGAGGTCGTTGGAGTAGAACTCCGCTGTTGGTGTTGACTGGACGAGCTGAACAAGGAGTGAGGCGGAGGTGTTGGCTTCTGCTATTCTGGCGGTCAGTTCTTCGAGTGACGGGAGGCCTCTGGGCCGATGCTGGCGCGCAAAGTAATCGTCTCGCTGGCCCGGGTTGAATGGCTGCGCCCATGGCCCCTTTCGACTTGCCATCAGTAAACCAATGGTACAATCTTTACATTAGGTAATTGAGGGGAGTATCCTTACCGCACTCACACCCATTGCCTTCTCAAACTTCGCCTTCTCCTTCTTCCACATTTCGGCCAACGGCGCTAGATTCGGGTCGTGGCTCTTCTGTACGGAGAGGAATTCCAGCGTCTCTCGTAGGATCTGTTGTACACTCATATCCCGCCCGTCGCGCAGCATGACTTTAATCGTCGAGACGAATTTGGCATCGAAGTTGCGTGTGAAGGACGTTCCTGGGTTATCGGCCAGGATCCGGATGAGCATGATGGCATTGTACTGCTTGTAGCCTTTTTTACTATCTGGATTTGAGAGGACACGGCGGATCGCGTCTGCGGCTGCTTTTGCGGCGCTCGGGCTTGATTCCGCGGTCTCAACGATGGCGGGCAGGTGAAGGTATTCATCTCCCTAGTTTGTAAAAGAATACGAGAAATAGGGCTGTTAACGGCGGAGGCAAATAAAATCGATAAGGCCTCGTGGGGGTTGATATAAAAGAGAGAGTGGCGGATGAAAACATACTGTATTGTTTGGTCCTCCAGACTCACAAAAAGCAGTCTATAATTATTATCATTACAACTATTAGTGGATTTTGTTTCTGTCATTCTGAGATGGATTTTTTTTTTTTTTTTTTTTTTTTTTTTTGGCGCTTCTGCGACAGACAACAAAGCACCTACCAGTTCAGCCAATACGACAGCCTCTGACGAGCCTGGAGGGTAGGAAGAAGATCGAGATACGGATTGGGCTGAGCGAGAGAGGAGTCGTAAACGCGTCAGTAAGGATGTCATGATGGATCAACTCTGGCCGACGGGAGGATGAGTGCCATATAAAGAAAGGAGGGGGGCAAAGGCCTTCTCCTTCGTCCTGATGGATGGATGCGGCGTATGGACTCACAGGTATGTTTATTTATACTCCCTACGAACCGCTTCATGGTGAGGAGGAGGATCTGGATGCGCGGTGAAGCGCTACTATTCGCGATGTGTGGCCAGAAACGAACCAATGACGACAAAACGATGACAGGAACGGAAACGGTTGGCCAGTAACGAGAGAGAAGCAGAGATTTCCACAGGCTGCAGAAATGATATAAGCGTTGTTAATATAGAAGAGGTCGGGGTAGTCGGTCAGTCCGTCAGGGCGGGTTGCAGCGTTGGAGATGAAGCGGTGTCACTTGTACGGAGTAGTACTCCGTCCGTACAGAGTAGCGCGGTTGACTGCCGCAACGCTAGTTAGTGGAAATGAGGGTCGACAGGGCACGAAACAAAGAGGATGGATAATATAGTTAAAGAGCGGCACGGAGAGAGAGGGGAGAAGATGGAGCAGAGATATAGATAGGGCGAAAGGAGTTGATATCCGCAGGGATGGATTTAAGGGTGCAGCAGTTGACAATCTTAAATAATAATCTAGCTGTGAAGCTGACGCCAGATGTTTCAACAAGCTGGCGATATCTGAGGCTGGTGTCGGATGTCTGTCTGACTATCTGACTGTCTGATTGTCTGATTTTTTCACCCGTTCGCAGTGCGCCGGTTGGAGACACAAAAGTCGCGCCGGCTTAGCGCCACGCGGCCCTGGAGGGACAATAATAATATTTAACTAAAGTGTGCATAGTAAGTTAACAATTATTAATGGGCTATTTTGGAATCAATATCAACTAATTCCTGATCTCCCAAATTCATCTCACCTCGTCTCCTCTCCAGCATGATTCATCCCAATTCCCATGCTATGCTCATACATACTCATGCCCATGCAGTCTAATAATAATTGAATAAACCTGTTAAATTATTTGTCACCATCCGCTCCGCCGTTTTGTTATGTAGTTATGTATGTACTGTACGGAGTACTCCTGTTAATAATGTATATATGTATGTATGTATGTATGTATGTACATGTACATCTCAAGGTTCACTAGATACTATAATCTGTACCTAAATTATCTCTCGAATATTTAATAATATGCGGACCCAGGTGGTGTCTGGTGTGGGTGGTGTGGTGTAACTAACCGCGCGCTGCTCGTTCCTGTAATAATAATATTCAAATCAAATTCCTCCAAATGTGTCCCCAGCACACTCTTTTCCTCGCCTCGAATTCTGTACGCCGCCCACCACCGCTTCATTTTTTTTTTTTAATATCCAGCCAAAGCCAGAGGAGATGTTCCTAGGTTACCTTACTCCGTTCTTCCCGGACAGTCCTCACCAACCCAACCCAACTCCACATACAGTCAGACACCAGCAGCATCCATGGATGGATTGATAGCAGTTGGAAACCTCGTCAACACAGTTGCTTTGGACTTGTGGTTCTGGTTATCTCGACCTCCTCCTGACAACTAACTAGTTAACCGTTCGAATGATAGCTAAGCTAGCTAGCTACTGGCGTGCACATTGAATTAATATCGTCTTCTTCCAACCCGACTCAGCGCCAGTTATAGTCGCGTGGATTCCCCCCCTTTCGTGCGACATCTGGATGATCTAGAAGAGAAATATACATATATATAACTACATATAACTATATATTTATATGTATTTAGTCCGCGGGGATAGACAACCCTTACACGAGGAAGTGCAGTTTCCAGCATGCAGTCCCAAAATACGACTCTTGGACAACATATCTCCCCTTCCCTCGAATGGCTCCAAAAAGAAAAGGACAATCGAACCTCGGGAACAGACCAACAAACCAACCAATCAACCAACCCAAACCCCCCCCGCGGACGTGCTGCCCCGCTGAGTTGGAGAGTGTCGGTGGTGACGGAAGCAAGATGTTGACGCGTCAAGTTCGATCAGTCTGGGAACTCGACGTCACTCCATCCAACTGGAACGGCGGAACGGCGCCAAGGGAGGGGGAATGAGTACAGATTAGTTTACATGGGAACTCGCGGCCTCCGAACCTTTGGAGAATCAGATGACCTCATCCGGAGTATAATAAATCTTCTGAGATGTGTTCGAGTTTTCGATTTTTCGAGACCGTTTTCGCGGCGCATTCTCACCTTTGCGAAACTTCTGCACCCCGAACGAACAATTCATTAATGGGTCAGTCAGCCAGCCAGTGACGACGGATGGTTCGCCAGCTTGTTCTTGTCCCCGGTTGTTTTCATGCTGCGGGGGGGGGACGGCGGAGGACGGCGGAGGGAGCAGAGGATGATCCAGCTTAACTAGCTGCATGCACTTTATTTTCCAATAACTACCCAATAGCGCCTCGCCGCGATGAGAATTTGGGTGTGAATTGCACAGCCTCACGGGGACGCGTGCATCCTTGGCCTTGTGTGGCGAGAGTCCTTGGTGTTCTCGAACCCTTGTGGTTATCCTTTTTCCCCTCTCTATCTACAGAATTTGGGAATGGGATGTCTTTGAGTAGAAAATGCGGATCATGCAGGAATTCCTATATTCGTCATCACAGGCCAGTTAAACCCCGGTTCACATCCAACATTACGAAGGCATAATTGTTCAACATGTTCAATTTCATCAATTCCCGAATTTGGGGAGGGGGTGCAATTTGAGATGCATACATGCAAGCTTGGCTGAGAAAAGAACATGCAGTGTTAGTACGAATTTCGAACAAAAGCGATCCGACAATCCCATCGCAACATCACAGTGTGAGAAGGATTTTCCCCTTCGAATGCCCCTGATCCAACTTCTCAAACGCCTGTTTATATTCCTCCAGCTTCCAAACACTGTCAACCACAGCCTTCACCTTCCCCTCCTCAAACAGCCTCCCAACCTCCAACAAATCATCCCCCCTGGGCTCCATAATGAAAAACTCATTCCTAACATCGTTCGCCGCACACCCCTCCGGCTTCTGCCCCTCAGGTGGCTCACAAATTGAAATAATCGCCCCACCGTCCTTCACAGCACTCCAACACTGTCCCAGCGACTTCCCACCTTTACAATCAATCACCAAATTCACTTTCCCGCCCTCCCCCTCCCTCTCCGCCCAATCCTTAACACTCATCTTCGTATAATCAATAACCTCCGTCGCCCCCAACTCCTTCACCATCTCCACGTTCCCACTCCCACACACCGCCACAATCCCACCTACCCCCGCCTCCCTCGCCAACTGCAACAGCCACACCCCAACCCCACCCGACGCAGCCGTGACCAACACTTTCTTCCCCTTATTCCTCTCCCTCCCGCCCTCCCCCTCCCCCAACCCACTCAACCCCCCGCGCGTAAACAGCGCTTGCACCGCCGTCTCCGCGCTCAACGGCACGCTCGCAGCGGTAATCTCATCCACAACCGCGGGCCGCCGCGCTAACTCCTCCGTTGGCGCAATGGTATACTCGCGCGCATTACCGGGCCTCTTGACGTTCGTGCGGCCCCAGACGGGCGTACCGGGGGGGAAAGGGGAGTTGGGCGGCGCCTGCACGACGGTGCCGGAGAGGTCGTAGCAGGGGACGATTTCTGCGGAGAAGAGATCGGGGTTCCAGGCGGGCCAGGTTAGTTCGCCGGCGCAGGGGGAGGTGGCGTGGACGCGGATGAGGTGATCGGTTGGGGAGGAGGGGGTGAGGGTTGGCGGTGGGGTGCTTTTTAGGGTTATTTCGGGCTTGAGGGGGTCGGGTTGGTGGAGGGAGCGAATTGTGGTTGGGAGGGTGGTGGTGGCCATTTTTGGGGTGTTTTGTGGTGTTTTTTTATATATATATATATTTTTATATAAGGTAAATTTGTAGATTGGGCGGTATAGGTAAAAAGCTCTTTGATTGAGATAAGGTAAGGTGAGTGAGATATAGATGTACGGAGTTCTTCTACAGTATCACATCACATACGAGACAAAACAACAGCCAGCATCCCTCGATTTTATATATACCCATCACAAACACGACAATATGACAGGACAATATGACAGCAAAAGAGCCCAGTCCAACCATCTACCTAATCCCTGGTCGCCAAATCGGCAAGTCGGCGGTTCCATAGCCCGTCCTTGCCCGCCACAGTGGGAGAAGCGTGACAGCTGATAATATCAATAATATTATATTTTCAAACAAATTATATCATATCGAGGCATCCAGACGTGGGCAACTGCCGCCCGATGGTCCCGATGCCCATCCATCGCGTAGTGCCGAGATCTATTCTGATGTCATTGAATCCCAATAGGCAAAAGAAGGGGGTCCAGAGCGATCTTTATTAGAAATTGTGCTGAATAAGTCTTGAATACGAGCGCGGAATACTAACTTAGCTTCGCTATGAGTTAACTTAGCTTTATAACCATACATAGTGATGTCCGTTGATATGAATTAAAGGCAGAGCGTAAAGAATTCCGCTCCTTGATAGATAGATTATTACTTCTTCTCGCCACTCCACAACAAGTTCAACTTTCTTTCTTGGTAAAAGCATCTGATTTAGTTGCTAATCCTGTTTGCACATTACAGCAAAATTTGACACACGGCGCGATAGTAGTGATACTCCATCCCGCGCGGCACGGTTGCTCGGTAGGCGGATGGATAAAGGTTCAGATCCACTTATCGAGGCCGTCAATTTTTTGCTGGTGTGGGGTAACTAACTAGTTAAGTAACCCCCCAATTTTTCCCGCGTGGATGGTGGGTAAAACCTGGACAAGAAGAGAATATGTTTTGAGGAATTACTACTAGCACACGTTTGAAATGAAACCTCAGAGGAAATAAGGGCTTGGATGTGTGATGTGTCGTCTCGTGGCCAATTACTAATTATGGGCTCAGGATCTCAGGATAATGGCTTCCCATTATGTCTGTGAGAGCTGAAGAAGCTGGACAATAACTATAGAATGGCAGGAATGAATCGTTGATTATTTAGTAGTGGTGAAAAAGAAGAAGTGGAGAAAAGATACATCAGCTTTAGGGAAGGCAAATATAACACAGATGTAACTAGTAAATCATAACCATACATATGTACATGTACACTAACAACCCTTAATAGAAATCCTTTCCCCCGCCATAACGAAACCATCCACATGAGACGCAGGACACGGGAATCAAGGAAATACTCATTCACTCTGCAAAACTATCCCACAAACCAGGAACATCCCGATAACACCCAGGACCCGCCGAATATCTTCTCTCGGTAAACCCACGATCAGACCCAACAATAACGCCAGAAAACCTTCCCGCGCCCCCTTGCTTGAAGCCATCGCTCACGACCTCCCGCCGTTTCTCGATGCCGTCCCATGACCCCCATCCCATCGTCAGCCCGAACGCGCATTCCAGAACCTGCTCCTCGTCGCTGCCTATGCATTGAACTATTGTCCCGTTAAGCCTGCAGTCGATGTAGGAACGCCTTTCCGAGGCCTCCTCAAAGCCAGTTTCTGGGATTTGCGGCGCTGGCACGTGCATTTCATGTGCGATTGGACCAGGTGGCAGCGCGGCCATGTTGGCGTTTTGATGCTGTGTGTCTGCCTGGACATGTTGCGTAGGTTGTAAAGAAACAGCAGGGTCGTCGGCTTGCTGGTTTGTTTGCTGGGTGTGTTGGGCGACTGCTGGAGGAACAGGAGCGGGTCCTGACAGCACAGGATACTGCTGCATTATCAGAATATATAGAGGTGGGCTAGGAGGGACAGTCGCAAAGTGGACAGGCTGCGTTATTGCTGGATTAGGAGCGAGATTAGGAGGTACCCCCAGAGCAGGGTTCAGAGATACTGTCGCGGGATCTGGATTTTGGGCAGTTGCCAGTCTTTGACCCACGTTTTGCATCGCTGTAAGTGGGATTGGGTTCAATTGAGGTGTTGGCCATGCAAGGGGATCTGTGGGAATGACTTGCGCTAGATTTGGGACAAAAAATGGTGGAACATCCAGGATTTGATCTGTTGGAAAATACGGGACGACGAGGTTGTTCTGGTTGAAAAAGGGGGCAAGGCGAACATATCCGCAACTTACGAATTCCAGTTGTCTTAGGCAAGGTGGGACATCCTCGCGTGGAGGTGGGGAGTCCTTCAAACCCATCGAAGCCATTTGCTCGGATAGTGAGAGAGCCGGTGTGAATTGGTTGATAATATCAGACCAGGTACCTTCTCGGAGCTCCTGAAGATAATATTCGTCTCGAGTGCAACTTGGACGAACTTTATTGCTCACATAAGGACGAGGAAGGGTGCCTGGTACTGCGGTCAAGGAACAAGAGTCAAATTTTAAACACTCCAAGGAGCTATGGCACGCCGACTTAAAGAACTGAATCAAAAGGATCGGGCTGAACCAGCAATTTTTAAAAGTGAGCGTTTTGATGTGAGGAAATTTAAGTGGAGGTTCCGGAAGGCGACCATTGGCAGCATCCTGTGCAAAGTAAGTGATGGGGGCCGGTAGGATATGTTGGTTTCGACAGTACTCTCCCTTCGCATGCTCGCCTCCTCCAATGTATCCAACTGTAAGTCGTTTTAGTTGCACCAAGTGCGAGATGACGTTTTCTAAAAGGCGAGTTAACAGGGTGGATGCAGCACTTGGGGCAATATATTTTATCGGGCTCTGCGAATCCCAGGTCATATCTGATTCCTTCCAATCTGGAATAACCAAAAGGATGATGGTTGTTAGACATGGGAAAGCCTCAAAGAATCGAGGCTGATTGAGATTACCCAATAACCCGGAGGAAATACTAGAAATATTCAACGTGTGGACGCGTTGAAATGTACTCTTGGCATCAATTACTGCGTATATACAGGAACCTAGGGTAGCTTGAGCTGCCCAGAACGTTTCAAGCAGCCATTCAGTCTGTGCACGCGTAGGGTTTCTAGGATAGAGTCCACAATCTCCAATGGCGCGGTGTTCTCCATACGTTTTCCCTCTCTCAATTGTGGGGTCAATAGGTAACCTCCTGCTTCGAGGGAATGATAAACGTGGAGAGTCCAAATAATCCTCGTTGATCGCATCTTTAAGCCGGTATAAGCTTTTCGATGCCCACTCTGGGAGTATCGATTCAAGATACTCTTTTAGCGACTGCGATGATATTGACGCCACACGTTTGTTTCTAGGAGCTGACGCTACAGCTTGCCCGCAGAATACGCTGCGCTTTCCTTCAAATTCCAGTGAGTCGTCCACAAGAGTTGGGGGGTTAAGCCAGCCATAGCCGGTATCGAAACTCAGAGCAAACTCAGAGACATTGGTCAAGGTCCGAAACGCACGTTTCATTCTCTCTGCCTGGTCACCCACTTCCTCCACTCTTCTCAAGTAATCATATTCAACGTAGTCGGGCTTAGGCCATTCATACTCTCCCCAGAAGGTTTTCACCGTATTGTTATATACCTTTTCCGGAGGATCGAATAGTTGAATCTGGTCCAGCTCGAAACTTAAGCCAAATCGAGAAACACATCCCCCAAGTGTTTCAAAAAGATCAATCTTTTCGTCTGACGCTTCATCGGATGAATATATCATAGGCCCGAAGGGAACCACGGCGGTGCGAAAAAGGACTCGCTGGAGCTTGAACGCACACTCTTTATTCACCAAACGAAGATTGCAAATATCTTGACGGGACAGATATGCGGCAACGCAAGCGAAGAGCTCCACAGGAATGCCGTATGGTGGCCAACCTATACGTTGAGATTTAAAAAAGGATCAATGACATAGTTGGGCTGATATCTTTATTACCTTTTGCCATGTTGTGTACTTTTGAGATCAATCAAAGCAAAATCGATAGTTTCACCTACTTTTGCAAGTAAATAATGTCAGTAATCAGTAATTTTAACAATAATTAAAAATTAAAACATGTAGTGGACACTGGGCAAATGAGCTCGATCACGATCACCACTAGTCTATGCTTGTAGTTAAGGGGCCGAACCATTCCATCTATACCAACAAAACAGATATAGATAAATTCTTTTCATCTCAAACTCATGCTCTAAAACATTCCACCAATATTGAAGACGATGTGGTTTTTTCCATGAATCAGCTTGTGATGTATGAAGAACTTGAGAACTATTGTGATTGAAATGGGGATGGAGGGAAAAAAAAAAAAAAAAGAGAGAGAGAGAGAGAGAGAGATCAATAGTTGATCAAATGATTTCTTTTTCTTTTGAAAGGTAACACCTGTTCTCTGACACAGGATAAACAGAAGACTAAGGGGAGTGTAGCAGATAAAATATCCACTGACATAAACAACAGTAAAGTACATAGAGTAGTTTGGGAGAAGGGGGGTTACACCTGATAGATTCTTTACTTTTTATGCCATGACTTCCACTCTATATGACAAGACTGCCATAATTGCATAGAGTGCAGTAATTGCCATATATCTTGCATACCTTGGTTTCTTTGTTGCACGTAGCTCTTATACCTCGTTTTGCCGACAGGGAGGAGTTGGAGCAGTGCCCGGCCACACACTTATTCAGTAGTACTTATGGGTGGAGTTGTCCCAAGCTAGTACTTTTGTCCACGTATATAAGGTCAACAAGACGGAGTGGTAGTTGCGTAGGAGATCCAAAGGCCTGATGTGATACTCCTTCGTAGGGGTGTAACGATTTAATAAGTGACCATGCCGGAGCAGCTAGTTACCTACTCAGAAGGCACAGGTAGAGTTTATCCACCTGCAAAGAGATTAAGATGCATCCGTTTTCCAAGGCTTTGTCTGCTGATGTATGGAGGAACCTGGGTTGGAGACGATCGATCACATATGAGCTGGCAAATGGAAGAGCTGGACATCGATGCTGGTCTGTAAATCTATCCGTTGATTCATTGCGCAGTTGGGAGAAAGGAATTCATTCGTTTTTCATTCAGCAAGGCCGGGAAAGAACAAGCCAGCTCCCAGGTCATACTCTTCGCCAGACGGTAGGAATAAGAGACCTTGATGATCGCACAAGGGAGGGCAACCCGCTAATAATATACGAATAGGTGGTGAATTACGTTAGGAAGTGTCGCCGGCTCTTCCCACTTACGTCATCCCGATCCCCTTGCCGAGAAGCTTATTTCAAGGGCATCAGCGGGATGCCGAGACAGAGAAAAATGGTAGGGATGGGGCTGGGATATCATTTATTTGTCAATCCTCCTCTTCAATTATTGCTATTTGTGGCACTTGGGAGCTACAGGTAGATTGCCTCATCAAGTGATCAGCCTGTCAGTGATCATACATGAAGCAATTCAATGTGAAGAGTTATATTAGAAGTCTTTTGACTATCAACTCTTGTGATATTCTCTTCTGCATGCAGAACAATTCTTTCAAAGTCAATGCTATATTCAAGATACATGAAGCTGAATCATCTTGTTCCAGGCTGTTCCCTGTTAATTATGCTGGGCATCTCTTGAGTGTCTAAGACAATATCCAATTCTTAGAGAGAGTTTTCTTTTTTTCTCATGCTGAGCAAATTCTTTATAGATATTACTTCCATCACCATAGTGATAAGAAGAATAGTTCAAAATGATTTTTACACTTGTTCATTTCTTCTCCTCTTTCTGATTCTCTTTCTCTGTCCTTTTTGTTTCACCTTGTTCACCATCAAAGCATCTCAACGGGAAGGTAAAAAAGTCAACTAGAAGACTTCGTAGCCGGCGATGAAGCCATGGATTTTCCGTCGACTGCATCGTCCAACAATGTCATCCCTTATTGCAAAAAGCACTGGTGTACACTCTGCAACGAGTTTATCGCAGAGTTTCCGCGCTTCGTGGAGCCAGGCAACCCGACCATAGGCCTTTGGAGATGGGTGTGTTCAAAGTCACCCTCCCACGCTATACTGATGGAAGATTTTGCCGTAGACAGGTGCAACGAACGCAAAATATCACATAACCAGTCCCGGAATGCAGGTGCTGAGGACTACCTCTTATGTTTCCAAATCACCGCGGCACCATCAACGAGATTGGATTCACCTATGGCGCACACACAGCTGGCGGGTTGAGGAATCCTAGTTACTTCCACAGAGCATGTTTCGATGCTTTGATCGCGAACTCGAAAGATCCGCGCATCTATCGGAAACTCATCTACCTGTGTGCGGCCTTGGTTCCATTGTTTAAAGCTGTCGCGAGGAAATCCAACAACCACCAATGATTTCGCGTTGCATAGCATGACCATCCGCATGGCTAAGAGAGAAGTTGGCCTGGGATCACTTGTCCGCGGAGGAAATTGCGACAAAAGCTTTTAGAAAGGACGAAGGCCTCAATGAGTTGCTCCTTAACATCTAGTGGAAAGCTTCAGCAAATATCAAGCTGGATATCTGTCGAAACAAGCGCCTCACATTGGCCAGAGCTTTTATTCCATTGCTCCAACTCCACGCCTGCCTCTATGACCTCACCATCTTTTGTGCCAAATCCGGTGGTATTTTCAGATTTCGTACGGATTTCTGATCCATATCTAATCCCAAGGACGTTAGTCATTATTGCCTTGGTGATCAAGCTGGTGTTCCCCTTCACTCTCGCTTGAGTCCGGACGAAAGAGTGACGGTTATATGGAGATATGAGAAACTTGGTTCGTATGTGCGAGCCCCTGGGATGTGCCGATACGATTACTAATTCAGTTTTCACCAAACCCTATGAATTAAGATAGCGTGCGCACTCGATGGGGTCATTCTCGTCCTCTTTTACACCGAAACAAAGGTTATATAAGAGGCAACCAAATGACAGAGTTCGGGGCGTTGTGTGCAGAACCATTCCCAATAACCGCGCAACCTTGGGAGTTAGCTGATCTCCAAGCCCCTACTCCCAATTGATATCCGGGTTCCCGTCGGTGATAATGGCCCGCGTCGGACATTCATGTGGCCTACTAAAACGGCAGTCGTTGCTGTGGCCCCCTACTTTGGCATTATTAGAGAGGATTAACCGATATCGTCGGGCGTTGGTAAATATTGACAAGGACAAGTATATCACAGAGGGCGGATCCGGAAATGAACTCAAGACCCCTCGCTGCCACTTGCGAGGGTCGGAGCTTGATACCATTGTCCATGATGTTAAAGCTCTCACGATGATGACTGTGGGGATAACACAGAAAACAGAATTATTTTAGATATTGCCTCTGACGTAAGTCATTTCAGGCCACTTTGTCCTCTCATTTGCTAATAAGTGTCACCAATGCTGATAAATAGGTAGTATCGCTTCGCCCTGGTGGTTCACCGAGGAGGTCGATATGATCCGCGCCATCTAAAACTCGGCATTATTGTGAATTTACAGGGGGGGCCTTGATCTGGAAATTCAATTGGATTCGTGAGTTTGTCAGAGGAACCAAGACTAATTGTTGATTGGCCTGGTGACATGCTTTTGTTGGCTGTTGCAGGCGTGCGTCCAATTTGCCCCTTTCTCTCGAGGGAGTTCTCATTCGCTTTGTTGTGCTTGTCTGATGTTTTTAATCCATTTAATAATAAGGTAAGTCGGGAGACGTTGTAGAGAAAGTAGTTGGCGAGCTGTAGGATTTTTCAAGGAACATGAACTGTAACAAGTGTGCTTATGCTTATTAGAGTTCTTGTGGAGCAAATAATGAACGCCTGGCAAGGTCTGGGGCTGAGGCTGTGTTGAGGCTAACTAGATAAGATAAGATGGATAAGATAATCTCTTGGCACCTCGCCTCGGTCTCCAGCTAACTTTGTGCGGGCGGGACTGTCATAAAAGAGCAACCGATATAGTCGATGCTAGATTTCCCTGAAACGTTCCACCATGTTTCCGTGTTTGGCGGACTTCACCATCCGAGAATGACGTTGATGTGACAAATTTCTACATTTGACCGCCCGTCTAGATGTCCTAACCACCTCTTGGCCGTTTCGAACCAAGCCAATAACGTGCCTAAGCTTGCCTGCCCCAGTATTCTCCAGCGGACACCTCGAACCAGCCGAATCAAAACCTAATATAAAAAGAAGCAACGAGCCATTCAAGATTTCTTACGGCAGAAAAGCACAGAAAATGGCAGATCACATCCATGGTTCTTCCCCCGGCCACCCTCTTCACTCGGGACAGCTCCATCACCGCTCAGACACACCCACGCTGCCTCCAGCCATACCGGAGCAGCAGGCAACGGCCACTGGCGTCGAACCATTGCCTTATCCCATGCAACGGACGTCTTCTGACGAGGAAGATCAACGCCCGCCGCGTTATACACGCGAAAATGACCCTTTCCAACTAGCTAGTAAGCTGAAGTCTGATGACGAAATCGATAGGATAAAGGCAAATACGGCACGAAAGCGAGGAGGCTGGACAAACGACGGCGTCAAGAGTTCCTCGAGAAAGTTGCAAGGCTTCTACAAATCCCAGAACGAAAACATTGAGAAGCTGCTGAAGCCAGTCGATGAACATGTGCGGCTGGCAAGGGAATACAACACCCAGAACCAGCTCAAATACAAGATCGCCGTCTATGGCAGTTTCGTTGCGAACGTCATCCTATCGATACTCCAACTCTACGGCGCCATTGCATCAGGATCTCTGTCACTGTTTACAACAATGGCTGACGCGGTTTTTGATCCGCTGTCCAACCTGACTCTGCTCATCAGCCACAAGGCTGTGAAACGTGTCGATGCACGCAAGTTTCCCGCCGGGAAGGCGCGGATCGAAACGGCCGGAAACATCTTTTTCTGCTTCCTCATGACTGCCGTATCGCTGATTTTGATTGCGTTTTCTGCCAAGAGCCTTGCTGATGGGAGCACGGAGGAAACATTGGGGTTCAAAGTCCCGCCCATTGTCGCCGTATGCATTGCGTTTGTAACTAAGCTGGCCTTGTTCTTGTACTGCTGGGCACTCCGGAACAAATATTCCCAAGTCCGTATTTTGTGGGAGGACCATCGCAATGATCTCTTTATCAACGGACTCGGTATTTTGACCTCCGTCGGTGGTAGTAAGCTCAAGTGGTGGATCGACCCAACGGGCGCCATGGTCCTCTCTTGCGTGATAGCTGTCCTGTGGCTTCGAACAGCATATTCTGAGTTCCAGCTCTTGATTGGTGTCACTGCAGACACACACACGCAGCAGCTGATCACATATATATGTATGAATCGCGCCCTCTATTTTTCTTTTCTTTTTCTTTTTCTTTTTCCACTACACTAGATACCTACCCTTCTAGCCCTGATACTAACTAAGCCTTCCGTCACTAACAAATTTATTTCGATGTAGCTATGACGCATTCCCCACTGATCCAAGCCATCGACACCGTACGCGCCTATACTTCAGGGCCGCGTCTGCTTGTGGAAGTCGACATCGTCATGGACCGCAACGAGACCCTTCTGGCCACCCACGATGTCGCAGAGGAATTACAGATAAAGCTCGAAAGCCTTCCGGACGTGGAGCGGGCCTATGTCCATGTTGACTATGAGACGACTCATAAACCAGAGCATTTCTTGAAAAAGGAACTCTGAGTTGAGAAGCCAAACTAGACATGTATGGCATTTTACTTGGCTGACTCTTATCGCACGACGTGGTATGTGTATGATAAATTCTTATATCTTGTGCGCAGGCAAGATTGGTTTTGAAGTTCGAGTGGCATATTGTACATGTACATCTCCTCTCTCCTCGTCTCGTCTTAATCTTTTAATGTTTTTATATTTTTATGGCTGGGGAGGCCATGGAGTTTCTGTATTTTTCAGACTCGATAACCATTTTTGGAAACGAAACGAAATAAATCATGATGAGATGAACGTCTAGACACCCATCATACTTTCACAATATTCTTTATTATTAGGTGAAAATATATACTTATTCATGTGGCTCACACACCCTAAAGAGCACAGAAGAAGTTTTTGGAGAAATCAAGCATATTCTATCAAAGCAGTCATGATAAATTCGCTATTAACTGGCTCTCTCCATACCCGTCTACAGTCTACAGTCTATCCATGACACCCCCCTCGCAGAAACACCCTTTCAAAACTCCTTACCTTTACCCACCCCACTCCCAAAAATCTCATCCCTCCGCGCCTCCCGATCCCACACAACCCTCCCATCATCCTTCCGCTTGAAATACAAAATCCGATGCTGCGGAATAAACTCCTCGTCCGTCTGCTCCGACTTCCACCGATCGAGCGAAATCTCCTTTTCACCCAAGAACCGATCTTCATAGCCGATGATATACTCCGTGCCATGAAGTGACGGGTCCCAGCGGAGCCGACTAAGAATGTCGGAGGCTGGGCGCAGTTTCGCGGTTAATACGGGAGGTTTGGTGGTGGATTTGTGGGTATTTTTCTTTTTGGTGGATGGGAGGAGGTCAGATTCGGTGGTTGCTTCGTCGTCGTCGGCGTTGTCATCACCGCCCTCCTCTATGTATATGTCTGAATCGTCATCTTCTGAATCAGAGTCATCAAAGTCGTTGTCTTGGATGGTGTAAGCGCCCCAGTCTCTGTCGTCGAGATTCAGAGGTCCTAGATTGCCCTGCTTGACATGGGACACGTCTACCCAGGCCGATGCGGAATCGAAGTATTTCTTATCGTTGTGGATATTACTTGCAAATTGATCTATCGATGCTTGCAGTGTATCGTGCGCGAGTTTGCGATCAGATTTGCTAAGCGTGCGCGTTGGATCAGTGGCATGCTCTGCTTTTGTTAAACCGATTAGGTAGCAGCCCTGGTATTCACGCTCCTCTTGCGCTGGGGTGGAATCATCGTGGTCCTCGATCTGTGTAAACCTGGCAGGCCATATTCTGGTCTGGATGTCTGGGAATTTTCGATGTAGATCTGTTTGATTTGAAAGACCTAGTCAGTTAAATGTATTAGACTAGATACTACTGTGATCAAGGGGCGCTCACCAGCAAGAAGGACCAAGCATCTGGATTCCAACCATCCCACCAACGAACTTCCCTTCGCTAGCGATAAGCCCCAATACTGCACATTTATCTTGATATAACTGTTGTATGATCTCAGAAACTCATCGCCAGAAACGGATAAAGACGACTTTCCAGTGTTAGCCACAATCCCAACGAGTTCTGCCCAATTTGTATTTCCTTCTGAAATGAGATTATCTGCTCGTTTCATTTCATCGACTATTGTTCTCGTGGAAGGAATCGAAGCGGAGCGTGCAACATTCATAACAGGAGCATGGAGCGTTAGTATAACCATACCCTCCTGGGGCGTTCTATGATACCGGGGCGGTTTCTTATGGAAGCTCGGGTCATACATGACGTCTTCCTTCCAGTTGAAGTTTCCATAATAATTAAAAAATGTACAGAGGATATCTGCAGCGCTGGTTACCGGAGCGGGAGAGGGGAGGAGCTTCATCACCTGGGACAGCATCATCGTGATATGGATTCCGCCAAGGTAGCCAAATTTGGAGGAGTAAATTCCACGGTGCTTAGCCCATGCCTTGATGATACGATGTAGTAAACGGAATGTAGCTGGATTTGGGACCGTTCGTTGAAGGTACGCTTGGTCCCGGTACGGTTGGAGTTTCATTAGAGGAAGCAATGCTAGGTCAAATAAGGGGCTAGATCGAGGTAGGTGAGGTACTTCTAGCCATCTATCAACCCACCCACGTTAGTTTCTGAATGTAAAGCTGAGTTTACCATCTTAAATTAAATCAAACACACCTTTCAGCAACAGCTGCTGCTGGACAATACTGCAAATCGAACTTGACGCTGTTGATTTCAAGCTCCAACATTGTCCCCGTAGCAGCCTTAACCTTCCTCAGGATTTTCACATCCCATTCTGCTCCCTTTTTGAGTCTCTGTAGAGTAAGCTCGAAGAAGACCTTCGAACTAATCGAACCAACACACAGACAATCCACATCTGACGAATCAGTCCAAACACCTAGTCCGTAAGAACCCACTGTAGTAACTACAATTGAGAGCCTCGGCTGGTCAATCTCTTTGCCTTTGCCAGACTCTGGCAATGAGCCATGCTGAATGAGATTTTTCAGAAGCGAAAATGCAGCTTTCCGTTTCTCTGCATCCTCCGACGATGGAACAATTGACTTGTCTGCCAGACATACTTTCAGCCCGGCAGGATTATCAAAGTTGGAGTGGGCCAACTTGGCATAAAGGGGCATAGATTTGAAGGGGTCAACGTCTTCTCCACCATTCGGGTCGAACTCCAATGACGCTCTAATCCCCCAATGGTCACTTGGAAATTGACGCTCAATATTTCCAGTTGCTTCATCAATTATTTCTACAGGAAAGCCAAACATATTGAACCCAGTCACCCGCAAATCGTCCTTGCTGAAAAGTATTCTGTCATATCGCTGAGGTCTTGGGTTTGCCGTGCTGTCAGATGAAATCGCGGCAAGCGAGTTCTCCAGAGGGTCAAATGTAGCCCCCTGCTCTCCGTCATATAGCTGTGTGAAATCTCGTTCAAGCCTAGCGGGCGACATCATGTCTCTGATCTTGGTGTGGGCTACTGACCACGAATCCCAGTAGCCAGCGTATTGTAACATAGTCTCTAGCACGGGCAGAGTCTCGATAGATCGCGAAGATATTGACTTTCTCCCAGAGGCTTCTTCATGAGTGATGGTAGAAGTTGTCATGTTAAAGTCACCGGCGATAACCTTGGGGTTGTTGGTATAGTTCGCAGAAAGGAAATTTGATAATTTCTGGAGCTGTTGCTTCCTTGCCGCAACAGCATAGTCAAATAGACCACTGGAAAGGTGAATTCCAGCGATTATCGCCGGCACGTAACCGGACTCATCAATTTTGCCAATATCGCTCAGAGCGAGAATAACTGCACCCTTGTGGTTGGTACCTAGAGGGAGCCAACTCCACGTAAAGTTCGAACGGCTCAACGCAACAACGTTTCTAATACTCGGTAATGGGCCGATTCCCTTCTGCTCTGGTGGACCATGAGTAGCGAAAGGATATGTTGTTCGAATAGCGTCGTGGCCAAGGATGTATGTCAAAAAGCTATCTGAAACTTCTTGAAGTACCAAGACGTCGGCCGTGGAAGCTTTGGAGAGAAGGGTCTGGAGAAGGATTTGATGCCTATCCGTTGCCGGAGGATATATAGAATCGACTAGGACATTGTAACTTGACACCTTCAATGCACTCTGAATTTGTTCCTCGTCTTCTGACCCACCGCTTGCTTCCGCAGGAGTCCAGATTCCAGCATCAGCTGCAAACATATAGGTAATCCTGGATTCAGCGCCTGAACCACCACGTTCTGAAATTGAATGCAAATATTGCGAAGAAAATTCCGAACTCGTTGGGGAGGTGGAAATTTTACTTCCATCTCTACCCTGTTCCATATCTTGAGGCGTGTCAACAATTTGATTAAATGTGGCCGCCCCATCCAAGTCAATTGTTCCCCACAGTTTCATCCTCCTCGTATTGCCCGCCTTTTCGCGGACCATGATTGCAAGCTGTCCCACCCGCCATTCAATAGGTGGGAGTAGTTTTGCTTTCGACAATAGATGATCACGAGCATTATCATCATTGGCCTTACTCTGGCCAATCGTCAGATGGGGTTGGTATCCTCTCTGCTGCTCGTTGGCGGGCTGCTTGAAGCCCTTCAGAATCACATTCCGAAAGTCGTTGAGATTAAGAAAACCGTCGCTCTCATCCGGTGCAAGGTAGACGATATTTCCGTGTCGCTGTGTGAAATTTCCGGGCTTATTGAGACGGACATGGAAGCAAGTGTCCTCAACTTCCGTGAGCCATGAAAAAAGATTTGACCGGATGAGATCAACGGCGGCTGGCAAGCGGTCAGTTGACACAAAGGGGTAAATAAGATTGACATGAGCTGGCCATTTTTCAAAGGCCTGGTCATACAACGCGCGGAGTCGATTAGTGTCTTCAACAAATGGTGTGGGAGGAATAATGCACAGTGCTGTTTGATATGCATTGAGAGTTAAGCTGGTTGTTCGAGGGGGCTCCGTGAGGTCCGCCATGGTTTTCAGAGAGGAAGTAACTGCCCTTAAGGAAGTCAATATTGTGGAATATAAAGTGAATATACTGAAAAATAAAAAGGCGGTTATGGTATCTCTTGAAGAAAAGTGGGAAAATTAGGAAAAGTTAAAAAAAAATCCTCATACAACGACGTTTGGATAGAGAATTTATACAGAAGCTGGTCCTGGCTTCTAATATCTCAAAAGCTTCTGCCGCTATGTTCAATATTTTTCAGTCATAGGTAACTAACTAGTTATGGGATGACTACCTCATAGAGATGCGTCAGAGCCCGCTCCCAAGGCATCCACCCTGCTCCATTTCCAACCAGGGCCGACTTTGATGTCCGTCTGCACACAGCTCACGAGATGATGCTGAGATGATGCTGGGATGTTGCCGCTGGATGAAGAGGGGCGGCTGAATTGAAGTTGGCGATGACTCCTGTTAATAACCCCATTTAACAGCCACCCCAGTGGATGCGCGAGGATTTAGTGGCCCGCAAGCGCTAAATGTGGGGGAGGATTTCGACTTTTAGCTTCTGGTGGTAGCTCAAAAACGAGTCACAGCACGGAGGACTAAGTACAGAGCGCAAGTGAGTCATTGAGCAGTCACTCTGAGAACGAGTCTGCTTAGAATAGGCATTCTTCAATATGAATGAAGAAACGCCAAATGGGAATTCCCAACAAGACAGGTAAAAGCAAGTCGCAAATGAAATCAAGCTGCAACTCCAGGATGGGGAGGCGGAATGGCAAAAGATACCTCAACTGGCCAGCTTCGCCGCTGTTTATGTTTAGCGAAAAATTGTATGCTCTTTTGTCAGTCTGACTAAATATAAATGAATCGCACTAGAAAATAGAACCGGCAGAATATATAAAAGAGTAATATTCTATTGAAGTTTAACAATCGGTTCGTTCTTCTACCATTATTGTAGGCCAAGATGAGAGGAGTTAGTTCCCTTGGCACAATACTAGGACGTATGTCTACGGTCTAATCCGTTCTCTATCCAAACGAAATAAAAGAAAAAAGAGGCAGAAGAAAAGGAGGCAGAAAAAACAGTGACAGGCATAAATAAAACAACCAAAACACATAATTTTGAAAATTTTGAAAAATTCGCCGAACGCCTCAGTTCAGACACATCACAAAAAGCCCACAACTACTAACGTCGCAGTCAACATGGAACCCCATAGTATCACGCGAGCCTCTGCACTATCTCCAAACGCCCGATTGGAACCCCCCGTTCCATCTTTCGGCCGTGCAACGCCAGGACCGCTCCCGGGCTCATTGGATTGTGGAGGAGGCGGTGGCGTCGGCGATGCAAACGATTTCTTCTCCTGATTAAACGCCAAGCACGCTGTCGGGAGCGCGAATTCCTTGGAAATAACGGTGTGATCCGCTTCAAGCTTCTTTTGGAAGGCACCGATACCGATTTCCAACTCCGCAAGGACACCCACGTTGAGTTCGACGGTGGGGACGATGTTGGTGAAATTCCCAATGAGGTCTTCGAGGGTGGGGATGCGGTTTTTCTCGTCGTCGTCGTCGTCGTCGCCTGGCAGAGCGGATGAGGTTGGAAGCGGGTTGCATTTACCGTCGACGTTTTTGAGTTGCTCGACTTTTACGTTGATGGAGGGGATGGTGAAGAAGGCGCCGACACCGCCTGTTGTGCCACCGATGAGGGAGTTGACGCCTAGAAGAACTTCGGGGCGGAAGCTGATATTGAATTCAAAGCCGGTTGGAACTTGTGCCTGGTAAGGAAGGGATGAGAATTTTGTGCGATCGCTGATTGAAGGGTTCAGTTAGTGCGATTCATGACTCGACCTTGGAGCTGTAAAATATGGGAAATTGGTAGTTATCAAAGTAGAAGTAAAATACACATACAAGCCTTGTGTGGTCGAGTTATTTAGGTCTCCAATATCGATCGTAAATCTCGCGTCATTCGGCACCTTCACGGAAATAAAATCATTTGGTCAGTTTCAACGGACGTTTTCTACCTTCATGCTATGACAAAGGTAAAGAGTGATAAAGTGTATAGGAAATATAGTGCTGCACATACGGAAACATTGAATCCATAGTCAAACTCAAGAGGTTCAGGTAGTGTCAGTGACATCTCAATCTCGGGCTTAAAAATTGGACCAAAAGCGACAATGCCGGGTATCTATCACTCCAAGTTAGAAAAATATTGCCCTTACAAAATGAAACGAAAGCGGCACAAATAAAATAACCCACTCACCATAAAGGGCGTAATAGGAATTTCTGGCAATGGTACTGAGAATTGCAAACCATTTTCTGCTAAATCTAGCTTCGTTGAAAGTTCGATATGCGCAAAGAGATTCTCGACATCGATCTGGATTTCACCATGTTCGAAATATCGAATGACATCAGTCACTAATTCCACTGGGTTGTCTATTGGATCCTCGAGCCTGAAGGATCCTTGAGAGAGGTCCACACTGCCAGCGACTGTACAGTTTTTGCATTTTAATGTCACTCCCTGGGGACTAATGTGGATGTTAGATCTGTGGCGTTTCTCTTGAACAGGGGCGGAAATAGAAAGATATATTTCTACTCACATGAATAGAGAAGATCCTGGGAATTCAGGAGGCATAATGACTTGGTCAATCACTTTCACTTCAATGTCTTCTTTGGATTCAGCAGGCGCGCTGGTGGCAGCTGGGGGGACCACTGGGAAATCTCTTTTTGTTGAACTTGGTTGTGCCGTCTCTGTAGGCTGATCCACCTGACGTTTCTTCAAATTGATATTTCGTCGTTCCAAAACTTGAGCTGATGATCTGCGGGCGAATGAGACTTCCACCATGCTGAAAGCATCTTTCCAGCCACTCGACATTTTTGATAGAATGATGATTTTTCTGTCCCTGAGGATAGTAACTTTTGTGACCCTGTGTTGTGGCAGTTTAGCATCAAACAACTAGCAAAATCAAAGCAGATCCAAGAGTCTTTCTTACATATGGGGTGCTCTTTGGTCCGCTTCATTGCAATTTAAATGCGATGACACCACGACAAACTCAGTAAGCTGTTCAATCTCCTTCGCCACTCGATCCAGGGCGTCGATCGAAGCAAAATGAAGTTCTATTTCCGTTGTGGAGCAAGAAACGTCAACAAGATCACTCTCAATGTCTTCAAGGGTCAAAATCGGCTTTTGGCTCCTAACCACCACACTGGCAGTAAAGACAGAGCCATCGGGAGCAGAAGGGGCGCTGCTGCTACGGCCTTCAAGGAAGTCATAGCTGGTTTCCCTTCTCAAAAGAGCGGCAGACACATCTCGTGTCTCCAGCGAGGATCTCAATGTTGCTGCAGACAGCACTCGAGCGCGGGCGAGTGCCGAACTAGGAAATGCACGAGCCAGCGACTCGTGAACAAATCCGGCCACGACGAACAGGTGCCATAGGAAAATACGGGAAATTAGACAGACGCCCATTCTTCCTCAGAGAAAATATAATGACGGGATGATAAAGAAAACCCACACCGGAAGGCTAAACCAAACCTCTGCGTACATGGAAAAACTCCCACAGTCGTCCATGATACCGGCGGGCCCTTATATATTTAATAACTTGCCCATCCCAATTGTCGCGACACAGGTCCCGACATTGCCAAGCCATTGATACGGGATGTTGGGGCTAGCTCAGGAGAATTCATTTTAAAGAATCATAGAGGTTCGCCCGTTGAGATCAGCCCAGTCAGCAAGAATAGGCGCGATTTAGCACAAGATTTTGCGCTGCTAATGCACGCTACCATGATGCGACGGTTTCTCCGCTGTTAGCTTGACATGGATGGGGGAGAAAAGCGGGATGAACTGTCAAAGCCAGCCTGCAAGGCTGCATGCCGGGGGAGCAGAAAAGGCGGCCGAAGTTCAGAACCACGGGCTCGGTACTAGGGTTACGTTGCTTTGCTGGTGACAGAAATAGCTTTGAGAACGCACCCCCCTCTCTATATTTTTTGAGTTCACACTTCTGCAGCATTGCAGGGCCAATACTGAAATATCCCCATGTCCACGGGACTCCAACTTACGCTGTAGTACATGGCATGGATGTGCGATGGAGCACATAGCCGCAATTTGAGGATGATAGTCTGCCAATGCAGTCCCGAATATGGTTGGCGGAAAGCCTGTCCCGATTTTATGGAAGGCTCCCCAGAATGCAGTGAAAAGGGATCTTCAACTTTCCTCCCAGGAGCCCATGATCTCCGTGTACTCATTCTCTAGGTGGACTTGCGGGGTTTCAAGATACTGTTCTTGCCATGTAGTTATAGCCTGCGCACACTAACAGCAATGTATGGCCGTGGTTCAGGCACCCAGTCAATGCTTTCAGGTACACTTACATTTTCTAAAATGAGAGCTTCGTCCTCAATGCGGTTAGACGGTATTCGACATTTGTAGGATTGCGAGAGGGGCGGGATCCTAAACACAACATCGAGGTGTGAGGTTTCACGATTCAGCTTTCGCCCGTTGAGGAAAATCGTAGCGCGGGATGATGCCCAGCCTGGCTTGGTCAATTCGGCGATGGCTGTCAGGTAACTAACTAACGAGAGAGTTCTATTTTTGACACTCAGCAACTCCGCCGTTCGCGCCTCTGAAAATTAGTTCTTTTGCCCTCATGAGAAGATTGATTGGAGTCATGAAGTGATAACTAATGATTCCTGGCTGTCACACCAAATCTTCACCAATTGAGGAGTTTCCCGCTTTGGCGCAATTGTTAGGCGGAGAAACGAGACCACGACCGTTTCGTTCACAGGTCTAAATCAAGCCGGGCACTGTAACTAGCTAAACTAGGAGAAAAGGGGGCCCAGCTGTTAAAAAATGAGGCTTGGGGCTTGGGGTGCTTGACTCTAGCGTCTGACGTTTCTAACGACGTAGTTATGGAGTAACTTAACTAGTTAGTTAAGGTTTGACGCTACGATCCATCAGCCCCGATAAGCTATATATAGCCCGTTCTTATTCCTCGAGGATTCGACCTGACCTGCGGAGCTTGTGGTTCAATCGCCAGCCTGCAGTGCAAAACCTCCATGTGCGAATCGATGTCCAGCACAGGAACGTCAGAAGCTAGAGCCGCTTTATCATGGGCCGCCGCGAAAAGTTGTTGAGATTGGTGGGTATGTATATAAACCTGCATCGCGCTGTACCTTAAATATATCCTGGGGGCCGGCTTGCAATGCTTCCGCATTGGGATTCGTCCAATGCCCCGCTTCTATTCTTGAGATATGCATGTTCGGCGTAACTGCGCATGTATCTACATGTACTGTACATGTACATACATACATGCATCATACAAACTCAGGCTAGATACTCAGATACTCCGCGGAAACAGCTAAACAGAAAGGAAAGGAATGTTATTGAGAGGCAAAGTTGAAAGAATCGAGTTCCTCGTCATAAGGCTGAGCGGTTCCATGCCATATTGCATTGTTCAAACGCTGTAGTTTTACTTTATCCACTTACTGCACATACTAATACGTATGCAGCCGGGCCCTGCTCCTTCTTAACTCACTCAGCGAAATCTCCGCAGGCTGCATCGGGGCTTGAACACAGGCAATTCCGACCAATGTATTGTATGAGTTCTTTCTTGGTTTGCTGACCGCGAGGTATGACCATTTGCTGAAACAGAAGAGCGGGACGGTATCTTCTGAAACAACATCCTAAATCAAGACATATGTGCCTAGGTATGTATGCAGTACGACCGTAGGTCCTTTACATCGTCGAAGGAGTCCTGGTGAGTCTGCTCCAGTTATATGTTTCATATGTCCCATATATACAGTGTATGTACCGAATAGGTTGTGAAGCCCTGTTGGCCGACCCCCATTTTGAAGTGACAATCAATTACCAGCAACTTGAGAGAAAGGGGAAAAGCATTGCTGAATATTTCCACATTGTTTACGCTCATGAGCAATTATTGCTAATCATGTAATGTCAAACTTCTCACCGCGTTCCGTAAATCAGGAAGCGTGTCGCTGAGGTGCAAGTTCTGAGGTGCAAGTGACTTGTCATGAGGTAACTAGAAGCGAGAAAATGAGCCTGTTATGCTCAAAATACGTCATAAAGTGCAACAAGCGAAGCAAAACATTTTAAATCCTTGGAATTCATTCCTTGGCGCAATTGTTCCTGTATGGAAATTTTCTGGTAGGAAGAAACCGCGGTTGAGTGTTTTCGGTAAACTTTATAAAGTTTCAGGGGCACCCCATCCCAGCGAAACATTGGTAGGGAAGGGCGGTGAAAAACCAACAAAAGAAAAACAAAAGAAAGAATGGGGAAGAATAT